GGTCTACCTGGGCCACGGGTCTACCTGGGTCACGGGTCTACCTGGGCCACGGGTCTACCTGGGCCACGGGTCTACCTGGGCCACGGGTCTACCTGGGCCACGGGTCTACCTGGGCCACGGGTCTACCTGGGCCACGGGTCTACCTGGGCCACGGGTCTACCTGGGCCACGGGTCTACCTGGGCCACGGGTCTACCTGAGCCATGGGTCTAAACAGGCTCTCACGGGTCATGCATACATGGGTCAACGTACATGGCTCTCACCATTCCCAACAATGCTCTTACCACTCCCAACAATGTTCTTACCACTCCCAACAATGCTCTCACCACTCCCAACAATGTTCTTACCACTCCCAACAATGCTCTCACCACTCCCAACAATGCTCTCACCACCCCCAACAATGCTCTCACCACTCCCAACAATGCTCTCACCACTCCCAACAATGCTCTCACCACTCCCAACAATGTTCTCACCACTCCCAACAATGCTCTTACCACTCCCAACAATGGCTACATTACTGTTATCAGCGCCCATTTGTAAAAAAATAATTTAATAATTGTTGTATTAAATCTGTCTATGAATGCCGGATAATTTTCATGAGGTGAGCTCGCAGCACTTATATTCAATAACTATATGCCGATAATATTCAAGATAATATAAAAAAGATATAAAATAATTAATATCTAAATAAGCAAAAAATGTAGCAAAATTCTCGAATTGTTTAAGGGTGTAGACCGACATCTTGGATTTACGGATTAGAAGGACTAAGTAATAAATCTATTGGCATCAGTGATTTCCATGACCCAGTTGACTGTTCCAGTTGACCCAGTTGACTGTTCCAGTTGACCCAGTTGACTGTTCCAGTTGACCCAGTTGACTGTTCCAGTTGACCCAGTTGACCCTGTTGACTGTTCCAGTTGACCCTGTTGACTGTTCCAGTTGACCCTGTTGACTGTTCCAGTTGACCCAGTTGACTGTTCCAGTTGACCCAGTTGACTGTTCCAGTTGACCCAGTTGACTGTTCCAGTTGACCCAGTTGACATTGCAAAAAGGAAGTTATAGCCCCCTAACGGATTTTCAGGATCAGTGGCGTCCATCTTGGAACTAACTTAGAATAATCTTTCCAGTAGCAAAAATCGTTGATATATAGTGATACATTTTGTTGTAGTATTTTATGGTATATTGACCTGTGTACCTAGTCTAACCCATTTATAATTCTAGTGCTAATGTGCTCAGAGACAAAAATGTATTCACAACCTCATGCTTACAAGTAGCGTAATATTATCTTTAGAACTTGGTGTCAGCGTGGAGTGTGTTCGTGGTGTTGTGAGAATATATTGCTGTCAGCGTGGAGTGTGTTCGTGGTGTTGTGAGAATATATTAGTGTCAGCGTGGAGTGTGTTCGTGGTGTTGTGAGAATATAGTGCTATAATAACACCCCCCCCCCTACCTTAATGTACATAAATAAACAAATACACATTCTGGTGGTTGCAGGTGACACTGTGCTGTTGTGATGGTTGCAGGTGACAATATGTTGTTGTGATGGTTGCAGGTGACACTGTGCTGTTGTGATGGTTGCAGGTGACACTGTGCTGTTGTGATGGTTGCAGGTGACAATATGTTGTTGTGATGGTTGCAGGTGACACTGTGCTGTTGTGATGGTTGCAGGTGACACTGTGTTGTTGTGATGGTTGCAGGTGACTGTGTGTTGTTGTGATGGTTGCAGGTGACACTGTGTTGTTGTGATGGTTGCAGGTGACACTGTGCTGTTGTGATGGTTGCAGGTGACACTGTGTTGTTGTGATGGTTGCAGGTGACTGTGTGTTGTTGTGATGGTTGCAGGTGACACTGTGTTGTTGTGATGGTTGCAGGTGACTGTGTGTTGTTGTGATGGTTGCAGGTGACTGTGAGTTGTTGTGATGGTTGCAGGTGACTGTGTGTTGTGATGGTTGCAGGTGACACTGTGTTGTTGTGATGGTTGCAGGTGACTGTGTGTTGTTGTGATGGTTGCAGGTGACACTGTGTTGTTGTGATGGTTGCAGGTGACTGTGTGTTGTTGTGATGGTTGCAGGTGACACTGTGTTGTTGTGATGGTTGCAGGTGACTGTGTGTTGTTGTGATGGTTGCAGGTGACTGTGTGTTGTTGTGATGGTTGCAGGTGACACTGTGTTGTTGTGATGGTTGCAGGTGACACTGTGTTGTTGTGATGGTTGCAGGTGACACTGTGTTGTTGTGATGGTTGCAGGTGACACTGTGCTGTTGTGATGGTTGCAGGTGACACTGTGTTGTTGTGATGGTTGCAGGTGACTGTGTGTTGTTGTGATGGTTGCAGGTGACTGTGTGTTGTTGTGATGGTTGCAGGTGACACTGTGTTGTTGTGATGGTTGCAGGTGACTGTGTGTTGTTGTGATGGTTGCAGGTGACACTGAGTTGTTGTGATGGTTGCAGGTGACACTGTGTTGTTGTGATGGTTGCAGGTGACACTGTGTTGTTGTGATGGTTGCAGGTGACACTGTGTTGTTGTGATGGTTGCAGGTGACACTGTGTTGTTGTGATGGTTGCAGGTGACTGTGTGTTGTTGTGATGGTTGCAGGTGACACTGTGCTGTTGTGATGGTTGCAGGTGACAATATGTTGTGTGATGGTTGCAGGTGACAATATGGTTGCAGGTGACTGTGCTGTTGTGATGGTTGCAGGTGACAATATGTTGTTGTGATGGTTGCAGGTGACTGTGTTGTTGTGATGGTTGCAGGTGACAATATGTTGTTGTGATGGTTGTAGGTGACACTGTGTTGTTGTGATGGTTGCAGGTGACACTGTGTTGTTGTGATGGTTGCAGGTGACACTGTGCTGTTGTGATGGTTGCAGGTGACACTGTGTTGTTGTGATGGTTGCAGGTGACACTGTGCTGTTGTGATGGTTGCAGGTGACAATATGTTGTTGTGATGGTTGCAGGTGACACTGTGTTGTTGTGATGGTTACAGGTGACACTGTGTTGTTGTGATGGTTGCAGGTGACTGTGTGTTGTTGTGATGGTTGCAGGTGACTGTGTGTTGTTGTGATGGTTGCAGGTGACACTGTGTTGTTGTGATGGTTGCAGGTGACAATATGTTGTTGTGATGGTTGCAGGTGACAGTGTGGTGTTGTGATGGTTGCAGGTGACAATATGTTGTTGTGATGGTTGCAGGTGACAATATGTTGTTGTGATGGTTGCAGGTGACAGTGTGTTGTTGTGATGGTTGCAGGTGACAATATGTTGTTGTGATGGTTGCAGGTGACTGTGTTGTTGTGATGGTTGCAGGTGACAATGTGTTGTTGTGATGGTTGTAGGTGACACTGTGTTGTTGTGATGGTTGCACTGTGTTGTTGTGATGGTTGCAGGTGACACTGTGCTGTTGTGATGGTTGCAGGTGACACTGTGCTGTTGTGATGGTTGCAGGTGACACTGTGCTGTTGTGATGGTTGCAGGTGACAATATGTTGTTGTGATGGTTGCAGGTGACACTGTGTTGTTGTGATGGTTACAGGTGACACTGTGTTGTTGTGATGGTTGCAGGTGACTGTGTGTTGTTGTGATGGTTGCAGGTGACTGTGTGTTGTTGTGATGGTTGTAGGTGACACTGTGTTGTTGTGATGGTTGCAGGTGACACTGTGCTGTTGTGATGGTTGCAGGTGACACTGTGCTGTTGTGATGGTTGCAGGTGACAATATGTTGTTGTGATGGTTGCAGGTGACAGTGTGTTGTTGTGATGGTTGCAGGTGACAGTGTGTTGTTGTGATGGTTGCAGGTGACTGTGTGTTGTTGTGATGGTTGCAGGTGACTGTGTGTTGTTGTGATGGTTGTAGGTGACACTGTGTGTTGTTGTTATGGTTGCAGGTGACACTGTGCTGTTGTGATGGTTGCAGGTGACTGTGTTGTTGTGATGGTTGCAGGTGACACTGTGTTGTTGTGATGGTTGCAGGTGACACTGTGTTGTTGTGATGGTTGCAGGTGACACTGTGTTGTTGTGATGGTTGCAGGTGACAATGTGTTGTTGTGATGGTTGTAGGTGACACTGTGTTGTTGTGATGGTTGCAGGTGACAATATGTTGTTGTGATGGTTGTAGGTGACACTGTGCTGTTGTGATGGTTGCAGGTGACAATATGTTGTTGTGATGGTTGCAGGTGACTGTGTGTTGTTGTGATGGTTGCAGGTGACACTGTGTTGTTGTGATGGTTGCAGGTGACTGTGTGTTGTTGTGATGGTTGCAGGTGACTGTGTGTTGTTGTGATGGTTGCAGGTGACACTGTGCTGTTGTGATGGTTGCAGGTGACACTGTGTTGTTGTGATGGTTGCAGGTGACTGTGTGTTGTTGTGATGGTTGCAGGTGACACTGTGTTGTTGTGATGGTTGCAGGTGACACTGTGCTGTTGTGATGGTTGCAGGTGACACTGTGTTGTTGTGATGGTTGCAGGTGACTGTGTTGTTGTGATGGTTGCAGGTGACACTGTGTTGTTGTGATGGTTGCAGGTGACTGTGTGTTGTTGTGATGGTTGCAGGTGACAGTGTGGTGTTGTGATGGTTGCAGGTGACTGTGTGTTGTTGTGATGGTTGCAGGTGACTGTGTGTTGTTGTGATGGTTGCAGGTGACAGTGTGGTGTTGTGATGGTTGCAGGTGACTGTGTGTTGTTGTGATGGTTGCAGGTGACTGTGTGTTGTTGTGATGGTTGCAGGTGACTGTGTGTTGTTGTGATGGTTGCAGGTGACAGTGTGGTGTTGTGATGGTTGCAGGTGACTGTGTGTTGTTGTGATGGTTGTAGGTGACTGTGTGTTGTTGTGATGGTTGTAGGTGACTGTGTGTTGTTGTGATGGTTGCAGGTGACTGTGTGTTGTTGTGATGGTTGCAGGTGACACTGTGTTGTTGTGATGGTTGCAGGTGACACTGTGTTGTTGTGATGGTTGCAGGTGACAATATGTTGTTGTGATGGTTGCAGGTGACTGTGTGTTGTTGTGATGGTTGCAGGTGACAGCGTGTCCCATGGTGCCACACATCGCGAGCTTCCTGAAGGAGACACCGCTCCTGCGCCACCACGACCTCAGTTCCCTGGTGGCCGTCAGCTCCTCCACCTCCACCGTGTCGGCCGCTCTGCACGAAAGCTTCGCCAAGGAGGTAGATATACGTCTGTGCTCTTTCCATTGTGTCCTCGGCCATTACAGCATAAGGCTTGATGGCTTGGGAAACACCTCATATAATGTGAGGCCACAGTATGCTCTCACGCCTCTGACTGGTGTTGGGCTCAAGTATAATTAACAACGGGCGGGTTATTACAGCATAAGCCCAGCAGGAGGGATATTATAGCCTACCCCCAGCGGGCGGGTTATTATAGCCTATACCCAGCAGGAGGGTTATTATAGCCTATACCCAGCGGGCGGGTTATTATAGCCTATACCCAGCGGGCGGGTTATTATAGCCTATACCCAGCGGGAGGGTTATTATAGCCTATACCCAGCGGGCGGGTTATTATAGCCTATACCCAGCGGGCGGGTTATTATAGCCTATACCCAGCGGGCGAGTTATTATAGCCTATACCCAGCGGACGGGCAGTAATAACTATAACTGTCCCCTCTACACCATCACTGAGCCAGAGGTCAGTGGTGGCGCTGCTCTCTCTTCTACACCGCCACTGAGCCAGAGGTCAGTGGCGGCGCTGCTCTCTCTTCTACACCATCACTGAGCCAGAGGTCAGTGGCGGCGCTGCTCTCTCTTCTACACCATCACTGAGCCAGAGGTCAGTGGCGGCGCTGCTCTCTCTTCTACACCATCACTGAGCCAGAGGTCAGTGGTGGCACTGCTCTCTCTTCTACACCATCACTGAGCCAGAGGTCAGTGGTGGCGCTGCTCTCTCTTCTATACCATCACTGAGCCAGAGGTCAGTGATGGCGCTGCTCTCTCTTCTACACCATCACTGAGCCAGAGGTCAGTGATGGCGCTGCTCTCTCTTCTACACCATCACTGAGCCAGAGGTCAGTGGTGGCGCTGCTCTCTCTTCTACACCATCACTGAGCCAGAGGTCAGTGGTGGCGCTGCTCTCTCTTCTACACCATCTCTGAGCCAGAGGTCAGTGGCGGCGCTGCTCTCTCTTCTACACCATCACTGAGCCAGAGGTCAGTGGCGGCGCTGCTCTCTCTTCTACACCATCACTGAGCCAGAGGTCAGTGGCGGCGCTGCTCTCTCATCTACACCATCACTGAGCCAGAGGTCAGTGGCGGCGCTGCTCTCTCTTCTACACCGCCACTGAGCCAGAGGTCAGTGGCGGCGCTGCTCTCTCTTCTACACCGCCACTGAGCCAGAGGTCAGTGGCGGCGCTGCTCTCTCTTCTACACCACCACTGAGCCAGAGGTCAGTGGTGGCGCTGCTCTCTCTTCTACACCACCACTGAGCCAGAGGTCAGTGGCGGCGCTGCTGTCTCTTCTACACCACCACTGAGCCAGAGGTCAGTGGCGGCGCTGCTCTCTCTTCTACACCGCCACTGAGCCAGAGGTCAGTGGTGGCGCTGCTCTCTCTTCTACACCATCACTGAGCCAGAGGTCAGTGGTGGCGCTGCTCTCTCTTCTACACCATCACTGAGCCAGAGGAATGTGTCCTCACAAACATTCCACTTCACACACTTCAAGCGTGCTGCTGCTGGTCCCTCACTGGACCTCCATAACTGGAGTGAGAATCAGTGGTTCAAGAAGCTGTGTCTGGTGTTGCAGGCTCACACTGCCATCATTTAGGGCCTTGAACGTGATGAACAAGCCAATCACGGATCTTCTCCCTTCTCCACAAGGATGTTGAAGCCTGTCAAGACTACCAACAACATCTTCAGCATGTAATAAACCGTCTCAGTGAGGGAAATACGCGTCAGTTAACCAACGATTCCATAACAAACTAGCGGAAGCGTATGACAAAATGAATGTGTGCAGCGGTACTGTAACCAGCCAACAATCTATCCCCGATAACGAACAAGACCAGCAAAAGGTACTGGAGTCTGTTAATGTGTCATCTTCAGCCGTCTGTGTGGAAAGCGAAGGTGAGAAGTGTGTTGGCATTATATATGCTTTCATAAAAGACCAAATGCATTATGAAATCAACAAAACAGACAATATTGCTGCGCACATAGCAGGCAAAAAAATCCAACACGTCAAACTAAAGGAAAAATTCGCATCAAACTAGCTACCTATTTCCTAAAATGCTATTTTGTCCAGGTAGCAGTATCCTCTAAAATGGGCGTGTATTCAAAGAGTACTAACAAGCCAGGACTATCCAGGCCAGACAGGCCAGTACTAACCAGGACTAACAAGGGGTGTACATCAACGAGGGCCTGACCAGGACTAACAAGGGGTATACATCAACGAGGGCCTGACCAGGACTAACAAGAGGGTTTACATCAACGACCCCCTCCCCATCCGGCCCGTTGGCGTCGTGAGGGGGCTTGGTGGACGGCTGCCGGAGTGTGATGCTCCGTTGGGCAGTCCTCTGTCCTTTTCTGGCCTTGCACTCCTGCTGCTGTCTTCTCCAATTGTGCCGGATCGCTTTTCCTTTTCCTTATGTTTCGTTTTTCTCCCCCCTCTTCTCCTATCTGCTTGTCGTTTCCTGCCGACCTTTTGCTTGTTTTGGATTCTTTCTTTGGACTTCTTCTATTTTGACGCCCGGGTGCTTGAGGAGGCATACTCTTGCACCCGTAGACCTGTAGTGCCCAACGTCTCGAGCGAGGGGAACCTTTTATTGTCAATCCCCCTTTCGTCACTGAACCCGATCTCGACGGACTGACGGTTCTTAAGGTGGCGTTTGTGGGGCGTATACTCACGATGCACTCCTAGGGGGCCCCGGCATGATCGGCGATGGCTTCCTGTTGGGTGTCCTGCCTCTAATTGTGGCTCCATGGTGGGTATGGGGGCACATTCGTGGATGAATTTGTCACTTTTCGTCTCTATGTCGTTGAATGTTTCCGTTGTACCCTCTCAGGCTCGTGGGGTGGGCGACCAAGCCCCCGAGTCGGCCTGTATTGGAAGACCAGGCTCTGTAGCTCCCGCTGCGTTGGGCCCCGACCTTGCTCCTCCTTTGACCGTCCTGACTTCTTCCCCCAGCTCCCCTCCCTCCTCTGTGGTTGGGTCGAGCCTCCAGCCCCCGGTGGTGACCACTTCGTCCCCTGGTGTGGCTAAGTCTTTCGTTGTGACTACTGCGCCTTTTGACCCCTCTCTCTCTAGGGGTTCTCAACGCCGTTCGCGCCCCAACCGCACTCGCTCGATTCCTTCTCGTGCTGATGCGTATCAGGCCTTGTTTGGTCCTGCTTCATGGGCCAAATACTTTGATCTCCTCCCTCTTGATTCTGCGCCTCCTGACGATTTCTCCCTCCATCGGCATCTTGTAGATTCCGTGGATGCGTCTGTTACTTTCAACCCCACTCGTCTCGGTACACGTGTCGTTGCTGCTCCTTCTCAGGTTGCGGCTTCCCGCTTGGCTGCCTTATCTTGCCTTGGCGAGATCCCTGTTCGGGTCTCCAAGAACGTTCAGATGAATGCCAGTGTTGGCACTATTCTCCTCCCACCCCATGTTGCAACCGGTGTTCGGAATCTGCAGGATTGCCACGATGATATTCGGCATATCCTTGATGCCCAAGGCCATTCTGTCCTCCAGGTTGACTCGTTTACTCGTCCCCCTCGTGGTCGTCGCCGTCAACCCCTTCGCGTTGTGAAGATCACCTTTGATGGTAGGACCCTTCCATCCTCTGTCATTCTTGCTGGTGCTAGGTGCTCTGTCCAGGAGTATATTCCTTCTCCTCGACTTTGTAACAAGTGCTGGAGGTTTGGGCATGGTGCCCTCCGCTGCTCTGGGACTGTCTCTCTCTGTCCTTTGTGTGGGAGTGAATGTCACTCTAAGTCGTAGTGCACTTCTCCCCAGGCTCGTTGCCTCAACTGCGGTGAGGCCCATCCTACCTTCTCCCGTGCGTGTGTCCATTACAAGCTTGAGGCAGCCGTCCTCAACTTGAAGCACCGGGAGCGTTTATCTTTTCCTGAGGCGAGGCGCCAGGTTCGCCGGCTCCCGCCTTTTGCTAATATCTCTTATGCTCGCGTGTTGCGCTCTTCCTCTCCTCGTCCTTCCCGCCTTCCTCAGACTCACAACCGTTTCCGGGCCTTGGACCCTGATGCGCCCACTGCCCCCTCCTTTGTTCCTTTGGGTTCTCTCCCGAAGGATCCTCCTCCTGGTCCTCTGTCTGGGGTTCCCCTTCCTTCTACCCGGTCTGTCGTGTCTCCTGTGTCTTCTTCCTCGTCCCCCTCCGATCCTCCTTCCCATCCTCTTCCTCCATCTATCGGCTCTCCCCACCGCCTGTCGGGGCGGGCGGATGTCCATCGCTCTCCTAACGGCCGTCGTGTGTGCTCTCGTTCGGCTTCTCCTGTTGAGACTCTGGAATCCGTTGCCCGGTACGTAGTTGCTGGGACACCGGTCTCTTTAAGTCAGAAGCGAAAGCCTGGCTCCTCTCCTTCCTCTTCCCCGGCGGGTAAGAAGGCTTCGCTTTCTTCCTCAGCTCCTACTTCTGGCTCTGTTGCTCCTTCCCTTCCCGTTTCAGTGATTGCGCCCCCTGTTCCTGCTATGGAGGTTTCTTTGGCCCCTGCTTCCCTTTCGGTTGCTGCTCTTGCTGAGGTGCGCTCCCCTCTTTCTACTCCCCCTCTTCCTGCTGCTGTCCTTGACTGTTCCTCTCCGTTGTCTCCTCCTCTTCCTCCTCTTCCTCCTCCTCCTCCTTTGGACCCTGCCCGCCCACCTCTGATCTGTTCTCCCGTTTCCTTCCCTCCGTCTTTGCTCAGTTTACCCATGCCCCCTAACCCTGACTTTGCTGACCCTGATCCCGACCCTGATATTCTTTAACGTGCTCTGTTGCTCTTTCGCCTTTGTTTCTTCCTTGTTCTCTGTTTTTGTCCTTTCTCTTCTCGTCGTTGTCCATTCTTCAATGGAACGTTCGAGGTTATTACGCCAATTTCCTCGAACTCCAACTTCTGATTTCGCGGTTTTCGCCCCTTTGTGTCTGTCTCCAGGAGCCAATGCTTGGTGCTTGTCCTGGTCGTTTTCGTGGCTATTCCTTTCTCTCCCCCCCCCCCCCCAGCCGTTGCTGGGGCTTCTAATTCTTCTGC